GCTTCATTCAGAGTTTTGAGTTACCTCCTTTTTTCTTTATTCTTTTTACCTCTTTGGTACGCACTGCACAGTGCTCAGCCATCACTTTATGCCACTATACAGTGTGTATGGACTGAAATACCTGACAGTTCTTTAATACCTTAATCAGTTACTACAGCTTTTACTTATATAAAATGTCCACTGGCTTGGGTAACCAGTGTTCTCCCTACTAGATCGTTGTGTTTTCTGCACAGACGCACGGCTCAGCTCATAGTATGCCATGCCTACATCAGTAATGGAAGGAAATGAATGGAAATTAATACATGCCCTTGAGCCTTCAGGGAAAGTCAGCAAATCCTGCACCCTTGAGCCTGTGGGATTTTATACCCAGAAAGTCAGAGATATAAAGGCATGTGAAAGAAACTGATAACATTGTAATTACTATGGAAAAGTGGTAGCAATCTATTTCACTGGTAATGACTACGTCATTTAAAGGAAATTCCAGTACTGTTTTGAAGAGTTATGAAATGATCTGTTCTTCAGGAATTTGCTCCTAACTGAGTACTGAGAAACAAAAGATTTGATATGCTTTCCTATAAGATTTCTATAGAATTTTGTAATTCCTGTAGAATTCTACACTTTTTCATCATTTATGTGCTATCAGATGTAATTATGTGTTTTCATTATCTATTGAGGTGCTTTACCTTTTCTTTTTAATTTCACAAAGTTCCTGACCTTAATAGCATCTTGTGTCAATTAGTTCCACGGATCACTGGAGCATTATGTGGAACATTTTCCTTTCATCAACTAAGTGTTTCAGCACTAGTGAATCCCTAGCAGCATGGATTTCTTGCTTTAGTGCAGCCTTTAGAATAGTTCTTAGGCAGGTGTTCAGCAGAGCTTAGGGGGTAACAGGAAAAAGTCAGTCTAGAAAAAAAAGTGATTCATACTCTACTTTTGTGTATTTATTTTTCATTCCATGTTGTCAGTATCTTTGGATATGGAGCAGTGTAAGCCTGATCTGCGTGGAAGGAGAGAGATCCAAATACTGTAGCATCACCCAAGCAGCAGAGTAGAATTCCCATTCTGGCTGGAATAATTGTCTGAGAAACTGGAGTCAGTAAAGACACACAAGCCACTCTCCTGTACACCACACGGAAGGCTGCTAAAAGGCACTTTGTTAGCTCTGATAAACAATCAGATCTTAAAAAGGAATCACACTTTACCATAAATTCCTTTAACACTTCTTGACTCTCAATCCGCAACTGAAGGCCTCGAATAAGACCTGTGATGCCAGTCCTTGGACCTGCTCCAGTCTGTGATGGTTTAAAGTTGATTAACTGAGTCAGTTCATCTCCAGAAGCAAAGGTTCTGCCTATATATCAACAAAAAAGCAAAGGAATTTTTAATTATTGTTGTTCAAATTGCAAAGTCTTGGCTTTAAAAACAAGGGGGCTGCAGTACTTAAGTACATTTTGATGCTTATACTGTGGAAGTGAAATGTGAAAAATACTTTTTGGCTCACTTTTGTTCACAGCAGAAAAAAGAATAAGTCAGCAGCATGAATACAATTAGCACCACATTTCATGTAATTTGGAAGTAGATTCAATTATTGCAACTTATTGCCTCATACATTTTCTAAATACAGTCTGTTCTAAATTAACTGTTCTTTTAGAAGTGTAAACTGTAACGCTAACTTATATTTGTATAGGAGACTCTGGCTGCATCTTCACAGGGAAACATCTTCATGCTTCCGACACTTTCCTGAAAATTCGTATTGCCACATTCTGCTGCTAGGACTAATCACTGCAAATTACTCCTCCCTGAAATAAGAAAGTGTCGTCTGTTCTTTCCATCTTACCACACACTCCCCTTCGTGAACAAGATGTGAAGTATCTCTGATGCATCAAAATCAGGATTCGGTTTTACTAATCAGTTCATCCTGAAGTATATGTTCTGATACAAAATGTGACAGATTAAGAAGATGGATGTACCTTTATATCTCCACAAATATTACTATTCAATTGCAAACCTTTTGTTACCATGTAGAATAAAAACAGTAGCTTTTTTTTTTTTGTAAAAAACAGTGATTTGAGACAGAGGAATTATGGAATTTGTCCTTTGGTGCTACATATCTGTCAATCTGACCTCAGTGCCAGAGAAGTTTAATAAAGCAAGTCATCCTGAATGCCATTATGCACCATACATAAGACAATCAGGTAATCTGGCCCAGTCAGCATGGATTTGTGAAAGATAAAGCAAGTTATCCTGAATGCCATTATGCACCATACACAAGACAATCAGGTAATCTGACCCAGTCAGCATGGATTTGTGAAAGACAGATTCCACTTGACAAATCTGAACTCCTCCTATGATAAGATGACCCACCTAGTGGGTGAGGGAAATGAACTCCTCCTATGATAAAATGACCCACCTAGTGGGTGAGGGAAAGGCAGTGGATGTTGTCTACTCAGGCTTCAGTAAAGCCTTTGACACTGTTTCCCACAGCATTCTCATGGAAAAAATAGCTGCTCGTGGCTTAGACTGGCATATGCTCTGCTGTGTAAAACACTGGCTGGACAGCTGGGCCCAAAAAGTAGTGGTGAATGGAGCTAAATCCAGTTGGGAGCCACTCAAAAGTGGTGTTCCCCAGGGCTCAGTATTGCAGCCACTTCTCTTTAACATCTTTATCAACGATCGTGATGAGGAGTGCACCCTCAGTGAGTTTGTAAATTACACCAATTTAGGTGGAAGTGTTGATCTGCTTGACAGTAGAAGAGCTCTTCAGAGGGGCCTGTACAGGCTGGATTGTTGGGCTGAGTCCAAGTGTATGAGCTTCAGCAAAGACAAGTGCCAGGTCCTGCACTTGGGCCACAACAATCCCACGCTATGCTACAGGGTGATGAGGAGTGCACCCTCAGTGAGTTTGTAAATTACACCAATTTAGGTGGAAGTGTTGATCTGCTTGACAGTAGAAGAGCTCTTCAGAGGGGCCTGTACAGGCTGGATTGTTGGGCTGAGTCCAAGTGTATGAGCTTCAGCAAAGACAAGTGCCAGGTCCTGCACTTGGGCCACAACAATCCCACGCTATGCTACAGGCTTAGGGAAGAGTGGTTGGAAAGCTCCCTGGCAGAAAGGGACATGGAGGTACTGATTGACAGCCAGCTAAATATGAGCCAGCAGTGTGCCCAGACGGCCAAGAAAGCCAACAGCATCCTGGTTTATATCAGAAATAGTGGGGCCATCAGGACTAGGGAAGTGATTGTACCCCTTTACCCAGCACTGATGAGGCCATACTTCAAATACTCTGTTCAGTTTTGGGCACCTCAATGCAAGAAAGACATCAAGGTTTTGGAGCATGTCCAAAGAAAGGCAGCAAAGCTGGTGAAGGGCCTAGAGCACAAGTCTTATGAGGAATGGCTGAGAGAATGGGGACTATTTAGCCTGAAGAAAAGGAGGCTCAGAGGAGACTGAATTGGTCTCCACAACAACCTGAAAGGCAACACTGGAACAGGCTGTCCAGGGAAGTGGTGGAGTCACTAGCCTTGTAGACATGGTGCTTAGGGATAGAGAGTAATAGACTATAATCAAGATATTCACAAATTTTCCTTGGGGAAGGACATTATATATAGCATTAAAAACATATATCCAAAACAAGCAAAAAAAAAAAAGATACAAAAAACTCCACTAAAACCAAAAAGATGCTCATCCTTTTGAGACTGGAGTTCCAAAGCAGAGGTGCTCAGAGGAGTGATGAGTGGGCAATGGCCAGCAGAGATGCCCTCCCTGTGTTTAGTTAACTATATTCAGACTCATGTTCCTTCCTTCTAGCAGTTCTCCAAGAGTTGGAGAACTTCTGAAGTTAGCTGCCTTCATGTGGATGTTGCAAAGGTTTGATGCCCTTCATACGTATCAGTGGTAAAAATTGTGTCCTGAGTGCCCTGGTCTTAGACACAAAGAGCAAGTTCTTAGCTTGTGTACAAGGGATTAGTGGTGTTCTTCCTGTACTTATATGGAGGTGCTGGCCTCTAATGTTAAAGAAACAAGAGAAGTTTCTGCATGGTTACTTCTAGGTAGAACAGAAGTCCTGTGGGGCATATCAACATCTTCATTGTTCCAGCTGTCTGACTCAAACTGCTGACTTTCTCTTCTGCAGCCTTCACATTCTGCATATTCCTGTGACCTGTAAAACAGCATTAGTTGAATGGTTTTATGGAATCATCAAAAGCTTTGATAATCCAAACTGTGCAAAGGTTTTGGGTTTAGTCTATTTTTGATCACTTTTAACTTTCTTGAGCAACTGCTTTCAGGAATTAGTATGAACTCTGAAGAACATAAATTCTAGGTGTAATAGTGGTGTTTTGTCTGGAGCAGTACTTGAAAATCTAGCTAGTGAAAAACACTATTAATCTGCATGTGGCATTTTATTTTTTCAAAGGGATAAGAACATACATAGTATGAAAAGCTACACCAAAAAAAAAAAAAAAGATTGGAAGTGAAGTTTGTCACAATTACAGAGAATTTTTCATGTATGACATTTTTCAGTTGTTAGGCAATTACAGCAAAATAGGCTTTGCTTGTTACTGTTTCCTAAAGCATTTAGAAAATTTCAGAACACTTAAATTTATTTTAGGTAGAAGATATGCTTGCAAACCAGAGTACAACTACGATGTGTGAAGAATGGGTCAAATATTCCTCTACTGGCTAACTCTTCATACACTCAGACCTAACATTTAATTATGTTAGTAAGCTTAAGTGTATCACAGTTTTGCATTATTCTGTTCCATGTATGATCATAATACATAATGTTAGAAATAGCAAAAGGTAGACTTAAGAAGGAGAATAAGATAATAAGGAGCAGGTTTGCAAGTATCAGTAACCATCGCAGGCTGTGCACGGTCAAGTTACACAAAACTTTGGCAAGTAGGAAATAGCAATACCAGAAAATACTGTTAATAAAAAGATCCAGATAACAGGACGGGGGCCATAAAACCATGCTATTTGCAAAACAACCAGAAAAACTTGGATGTTCACGTGGATGTTCTCACTTGGAGATGCTATTAAAGCTTCTTTCAGACTTTATCTCTGCAAGCAGCTAAGTTACGGATGATTTTCATCCCAATTGATTGACTAAATACCATTCTTGCAAAATTTTAAGTTTTAAATGGAAATATTTAGTCCCTTTTTCCATTTATAAGTTGTAAAGAAAATAATTGTACTTCATATATTCTTCATCATAGTAATATATAAAATTGCCTATGTCTTATTAACATTCCTTTATATTTTGATTTCCCATTGTCCTGTAGCTTTTAAATTTGAAGTAAAATTCTTCTTTACTCATACTATGTACTTTCTTTGGAGTAACCCTCAAATTCTAGTGATTCCCAGATGTCTGGAGTTCAGCACCTGTATTGCTGCAGCCATGGTAGTGCAGGGTCCAGCCCAGGCTGCAGGACTTGCTTGGAATGCTGCATAAAACCCATGGGGACCCTGCCCACACCAACGTGATAGTGCTCCCCCTGTTCTCCCCGCCTCAGCTAGGGAGGCTAAAGCTAGCCGAGGCATATCTGCATGAGCAGTTACACCTAGAAGCTTCTGTTTCATTTGCCTCAGTAGCTGTGCAGAAGCTGTTTAGCAGCTCTTACTGCAGATGGAGCTGCATTCCAAGAGAACTGTGTTTCTCTCATTTGGGACACGAGTGTATTTGCATACCATATTAGGACAGCTCTGGAAGTATAATAATAAATATTACTGTTTATACTATTTGTTTTAATAGTTTTACTGCACTTGAAAGACTTACCTGTCTGAAATGTTACTGATGATATCCTTATAGCCTCGTCCAGCCAGCTGACCTGGCAGAGGGGAATTGTCTGTACTTTTTGGATCCTGCAGGTTTAAAATAAAAAAAAAGCTGTGAAAAATCAGTACACAGAAACATCAAGAATATAACTACTTTCATCACGATTCTTTCTTATGTCTGACAAAATGCGTCCTTCACTCAAGAAGGAAAGGGAAAATAGAATAGCTGCTACTTGTAGAAGAAAGTATCTAACTTTGATTCAGTATTGTGGTATTCAGTAGAAGAAAAGAGCCACTTCAGATGTATTTGTGAATTTCATAACAGTACAGTCTTCAGACATCTCTACAACTTAGCATACATGACTAAACTTTGAAAAGGTTCATGTTAGTTATATCCTCTCTGATCTCACAAAGAAAATGCAGTCACAGGAATCATGAGTCACACTCTACACATCACCTCCCACCTCTTAGCAGCAGAAAGAACCAGTGTCTGAGATAGAATTGTTGGTAATAATTTCCTCTTCTTATCTCAGACACAAGGATGCCAGCTGTTAGGTTGCACAAACAGGGTGCACAAACAGGGTGCAGCTGCTCTACTGAAGAAGCACTCAACTAACAGAGCAGGCAAGACCCTTCATCACCCTCCATATACAGTAGAAGCAATAGTGTTGGTGACTGTATTTCCATCCTAAAGAATGATAACTGGGCCCTGCATTTAAATATTGATGCAGGACATCTGCCATTAGTCTGTGGAAGTGGCTCCTTCTCTGTTGTAACACTTGATATATAATTTTTTTAGGGGAATTCATGGCTGCCTATTTAACCATGAATTCAGTTACTCATTTGCTCCACCTACTAACTACACTGATTGTAGAATGTTATATGAATGTTTGTTTTCTATTTGCCAGTGAAAGATATTTTACTGCTGCTTTTTTATATTTTTTTTTTCCCAGCAGCTTGTCATTTTGAAAGTCATTTTGAAAGTCTGTGTCTTTGGAGTAGATGGCAGCTGTGCTCTACGAAGTAAAGCATCAATAGTATCTATTCATAGGAGGCAGATAGAGGCTGTACATTTCACCAATCTCTAACAATTTATTTCCAACACCCATTCCAGCAGTGTACTTAAAAAAACTTCCTCAAACAAATACCTCTTTGAGGTTTTCTCAAGTTATTCACATCAAGAATTTCTTCCATTTTTCTCTTTCAAGCTTGATTGTAAAATGGTTGAGTCAGGGTTTGGTTTTTTAATTTGTTCTGGAGGATATGAAGACCTACATTTCTCACATTTTCTGATGTACAGTTGTAAACTTAGAAATAGTAGATGCTGTAAAATTTGGTGTGCAGTGTCTTGTAGGACTTACTAATATTCAAAAACTTAACCATGTTTAAAGACATTTGGGTGCCTTGTAGTTATGAATGTTAATGGAAGATGGTTGAATAGAAATCTTTTCAAGTACATTTTTTTTTTCAAATGCTGAAAGAATGGTAGAATTACTAAATCATTCATTCCAATATTATAAATCACCAGAACTAGACATACATATAGCCTTCCATTCCCTGCCCTTTTAGCATGTATATCATACTAATCATATGCTCTTATCTCAGTGGAATCCCCTGACTGATTCAGATGTTAGCAGTCCCAGTCAGTCATTGCAGCACACTTACCTCACAATAATCTTTTTTCATTAAGAAGGTGTGGTTCTTGTCTGCATTCCAACAAACCCATTTTGTAAACAAACATATGAGTACATTGCCTGATAACTTCTAGAAGCCTGATTCAGATTTTACCTTGGTGCACATCTGTTTGGATTCTTCCTCTTCATTGAAAGTGAAAACAGGCTGAGCTTGTAGGTGTCCCTCAGCATAATCTGAATACCAGAAAAGAAAATAAAAGGTCTATAAAGCATGAAAATATAGGTTTGTTTCTTCTGTGCCATCCACGCCTTTGTGTCTTGGGTGACTTCCATGACTTTGAACATGGAAAAGGCACTGAGATACAGTGTCAGAAACTGGCATGGAATATCCCTTTCATGGAAGCTCTGAGAGGGTTAGTATAGCACAAATGCCATATATCACCACTGAAGAAGCCAGCATAACTCAAGCTGCTGGAAGATACACTGCAGTAGATCCCTGTATCAATAGCAGTTACAAAATAAAGAAAACAGAATTTAAATCTGCCCTCACTAGCCCAACCCATTCCTTTGCAGTGCTAAGGGACAAATACTGCAAATTAACTTTGGTGTCAGTCCTTCTATAATACCATTGGGTTTTGCTACTCCAGGAAAACAGTTAAACTTTTTTAGAAACTCTTTAATTCACCAGTATCATGTGAGATGCAAATAAGTGTCCCCACAGCTAGTTCCTTGACTTTGCAGAGATGGAGGAAAGGCTAATCTCACTGAAGTGCATGGGAATAGTTCCAGATCCCTTAACAGAGCAAAAGCTTCAATCAGCCTTTTTATAACTGTCTGTCCTTCCATTTTTTTTTCCATCATTAGCCCCCCAGTTTAAACTAGAATAGAGATGGGGCGGTGAACATCCTCCTCCCAGGCTGGTGCTAGGCATAGCTTTCTCATCCTTATGGGAAAAACTTTGCTCTTGAAACACACAAGCAAAGGGGTGTCCAGTGCTTATGACAGCCTAGAAGTTCAAGAGGATTAGGTTCAGTCTTATAGATACTGAAAAAATTGAGATCCTTGAACCCTAGAGGCAGCTGCTGCCTTATAGCAGAATCGCCTAAAATACCTGTGCAGGTAAGTTTGCAACATTAAAGCTGACTAGGTGCATAAATGTTTGTTGTAAAATAAGTCCAAAACCCACAGTCAGTTATACATCTCTTCCTAGTCAGCTAATAAGAAAGTAGTTAACAATGGCAGTGGCTTCTTGCCTGAGAAGGTTTGAAAAAAACCCTGCAATTTGTAACCAGCAGGCCAGATGGTATATTAAAGAGGAATTCTATATACTTCCCACTGAAGTTTCTCTACCTTGTAGGAAACATTTCAGTGTTCAAAGAAATTGAAAAGTGATGGCTATAAATCCCTAATCTAATGGTAATAGTATACCCTTGCTTCCACTCCCAACTTTAATTAATATTTAAATTTTGAGTATTCAGTAGAGCAGAGCCTGCAGCACAAGTTTCTTCCATTAGAGTTAGTCAGCTCTCTAAGTACTGCCCTATTCAGGTGGGCATACTCTCAAATTAATAGCAACCAACTTGAGAGCAGATGCTTCTGCTTTTGAACATGAACAAGCACAGAAGGGAGAGGAGCTGTCTGCCAGGCAGACCAGGAGGTGCAGTGCTTCCAAGAAATGAGGTAGGAGTGCTGGGATGTGGAAATTGTGAAAAATGTCTTTTAGCAGCTGGGTCAACAACTGGCTGTGATTCCATCAATGAGTTGTATAAGATTGGGTAAAATCATACCAGGAACCTTCATGACTTAAAAGCATAAACTGAGTTAAAGCATTTTTGCAGCTTTGCTTCTGCTGCTCCTAGACTTAAAATCATGCTTGGGTATTCCTTCTATGTGGTCCTATGCCTTGAGTAGCTTAGCCAGTTCTGCAGATGAGGGTGAAGAATGTGTTTGTATCCATAACAATGAATAAGGACTAACTGTAAAGTTAGCAATACTGAATTGTTTTTACTAACAGGAAAGCTGAACTCAGGCAACACACGATCCCACTTTTATCATATACTGAGTGGGTGTAGCTGCTTACCTGGCTCTGCTTTTGTGTTGGGGGTGGGGGCCGTGCTGTTGCTCGGGTGGCCTGAGTAAGCCCAGTGCAGAGCCATGCTGCGGCAGACCGTCAGCTGGACGGTGCCCCGCGCCTGCCGCAGCAGGTCTATGACTGTCTGCCGGGGCAGGCCAGACACAAAAGTCTCATTCACCTGGAAAAAAAATACCATGACATGTACTTCCAGACTCCTGTAACAGAAAGCTTATTTTTAATTGCATATCCCAGCACTGGGCAATCTTTATATAACTTCTTTGCACTTCGCGTGTCATCATTCTGTTGCATTTTAGTAATTTGCTTAGCTCCTCCTCTCATCCTATTCCATGATTGCCAGAAGTACACCACAAATGTATAGTCTGCATCTCCTTTGAGACACTAGCAGAGCGTTGTTTCTCCCCCTCTTCATATGGAAGACAGATAGAGGAGAAATGTAAGTAAATGAAAAAGAGAAAAGCAAACAAAAATATTGAAACTCCTGGAGTTGGAGAAAAAAAAAAAAAGATTTAAATTGCAACACTGTTAAAATACAGCTTTTGAATCTTTATTTAAAATCTTAGTAAGTCCAGTGCCTTTTTTTTTTGTCCTGTTAATACCTCGCTGGCCCTGATGATAGGTTTCTCCCAGTATCCTCCTGGTTAGGTGTTATATGCACGCTTTGGTCAGTTAACTCTTGTTTCCCTGACTTTTTTTCTTGTGAAATCCTCACTAGGCACAGTTGCACTTGCTCTGCTATTCTGGGTTTGCTTCTGTTCTGGATTGCCCAACAGCCACCTCCAGCTGTAGACAGGCCCAGTCTCACAGGAAGCTGAAATTTATGCAGTGGGGGGTGGCTGGGTGGGACAGCCCTCTGACCCCCAGAAGCCAAGGGACACAATCTGCTACGTGTTACTGTGCCAAGCAGCCTCGGATTTCCAATCTGCAAAAACTTTATACTGAACAGAATGCTCATTATAGATTAACTAGAGAAAGCATAGGCAAAACAATGAAGAAAAGCATTACCTTAAGCAGGATGTCACCAACTTGAAGCCTCCCATCCAAATCTGCAATGCTGTCTGGGCTGATGGCTTTTATTAGGATAGCCCTGCCATTTCTTCCACCTACCAGTGCAAATCCTAGGCTTCCATTTTCTGCTTTTTCCAGCTCAATCTTAATAATGAAGTCCTACAATAGAAAAGGATGCAGTCTAAAGTGGAGTTTATTCAGGGTTGTGTTTTGTTTGCAATCCCATTATGGTTTGCAGTCTTCACTGGCTGGTGCCGATTATGGGCTATATCCTTCTTCCTTCTCTTGAATAGGTGCATAGAACTTCCAGTGGTTAACATAGCAGCTGCATTTGTGCATTAGAACGAAAATAGCACATACTTACTTCCATAATCTTTTTAAATAATTGCTGGAGTGGAAAATAACCTCTTAAGTGCAAGAAAACATACTTTTTTTAAATTCTTTTATAATATATCAAATACATCAACTTTGACAAACAAGTCACTCTTATTTCCAGCATGACACTAATGCAGTACATACTCCATTCTTTTATTGTTCTATATTAAAAAGCTTAACTTTTCAACCCCAACATACATATCTGTTTGCTTTTAGGAGTTAATTCAGTTCTAAAATCAGCTGCTTTTTTAGGGTCAAGTATTATGTCAGAAGTAGCAGCAACCTAGAAACGTTTATGACTTGCAGCATGACTAGTTGCAATGTTGCAAATATCAATTATTTTAGCAAACTGAACAGATAAACCATCATGGATTAAATGGTGCAGAAGAAGCAGTAATAGTGATGATGTAATCAAAACCAAGAATCTTATTCCCGTTTTTCTGCCAGGTTGAAGGTCTAATTTTAACAAGAGACAGCCTTTTCATGTAAACTAAAATCAAAAGAAAACTAGTAAATCTATCCTCATGAGACATCAGCCCTAATGTGGGTAATTTCAATTCCGAGTAACATTATTTTCCAGACTTGCAGAAACAGAAGCGGTGTTTGCACTTGTAAGAATTTTGAATCACTGTATATTGAGCATGGAAATAACTTCTTTTATCGAGGAACACAACTGTGTATTTTAGGAATTTGTAACTTAAAAAATGCCGTTACTCTTGCAAAATTCAAACTGTTATGGTTTATGTCAGTGCTACTTAATACTCCAAAGGTTTGGAGTAAATTTTCCTCATTTCAAATGCCCTATCCAAGACTTTTAGAATGAAACATATTAATCTCAGTTTTCAAAGACTGTTGTTGAAAATGCTTCACAGTTACAATTACACTTATTTTCCCCAGAATCCTGTGCTGTGGCATTCTGTACCATTTTGTTGTGCCACTTTCTTTCTGAGCTAGGGATTAATCTTGTAAGCTGTTAAGAGTACTATGAAGACCTAATAGAGGGGCTACATCATGTAAGATGTGCTTATATTACCAGGTTAGTAAAATAGTGAAATTATATATTGAAAAATAATAATAGAAGAGTCTGACCCCAGGAATCACTCAGTACATTCTAGTCCAGGAATGCTGAAGTAATTCAACACTTCATAGGATATTCTCCAAATGCATTATATTCACATTTTCAAAGAAACTGAAGAGGAAGCAAATACATCAAATACCACTGTTGAAAAAAATTCAATATAACTCACTTCACTTGATGGGCCAGCTCATGCTTGATAAAATTCTCACTAACCTTACATTCTGGAGAGTCGGGAGCGTTTTGCTGAGCATCACAATTTGTTTCCTCTAAATGTTTCCCTGTGAAAAAGCAGCAACAATCTTTACTCAGTTGTACTGATAAAATGTTCTATAATATATCACTCAAAACATATTCAGAGACATAATAAAGCATTTTGTATTTTACATGTAAAATACAAAACTTTCGTGGGCTTACACTCCTGAACTATGAACAGTCTTCTGCACATTATCCCTGTACACTTTTTGCCTCCCAGTGATCAGGTTCCAAAATAAGCTCTAAAAGCTGCATGTTACAGCAGAGATGCCAGATGGACAACAGGTAATGTATAAATGTTCTCTGAAACTCTAAGGGAGGCAGTATTATTTACGAAGGATTAATCTTTCCCAGGTGCTGCCAGTACCACTACAGACTTATTTTATCTCAAAGAGAGCACAGAGTTTTGTAAACACTGATTGAGAAATGCAAAGTTCCTTACCGTGTTGATGCAGCAGATGCTGTTCTTGGGGACTTGGTTTTTCATTTGAGAAGGAAATATTTGCTTTCTCTGTCTCAGCAGGTGGCCCTAAAAGCATATATGTAGGTTTGTTCTGATAGGCCTCCTGCTAACCTCCATCTACACAAGGGAATGTAAACTCTGTGCTTAGATTATTAAACAAAGCATCAATCTCGGTACTGTATGAGCTAGTTTGAGACATCGCTGTGTGATTAAGTTTGCCAAATTGCACAGTGATATCTCTGCAATTCTTCACAGAATTGTCTGCATTGCATCCCAGCCATTGCTATTTTAAAAATTATAATAGCAATCGGAGGTCACACTGACTCATTCTAGATATGTGGCAGTGACCAGGCAGAGGAAGAAGCAGGGTTTGTTAGTGTCTGCAGAGATTGGTACGTAAGAAGACAATGTCCATTTCTTGACATTCCCACCTCTACCCACTCCCAGTTTTGGGGTTTTGCTTTATCATATCTTGCTGATCTTAGTTCTCTTCCAGAAAGTACTCTTAATTTATGAATTACAGAAAATTATGAGTGTTATGTTGTTGTTTGTCTGTTTTAAGAAAGCTCACTGTTGCACTTACAATTTTAGTTTGTTTGTTTGGATTTTTTTTTGCAAGAGAGTATAGTGAATGAAGGCCTGCTTTCTTAACAACAAATTAGTATGGAATTATCTATATTATCTATCAGAGATGGTAGCAAACATAACAGCAAATACCCAATGACTATAGATTTATTTTTTAAGCTTCTTATAGAAGGGAAGAATCTTGTTTTGTAAGAGGAGCAGGTAACTTTACCACTGTAGAGCTCATAAACCTGTATAAAAGTAAGTCACATCTGTTGACCTATTTTGAAAGTGAGAAATCTTGAGAAATCTTGGCCTCTGCAGAGCTCATGAAGCAAGGATGTGCAAGCAAAACTCTACCAGGATATGCATTTACCATGCTTTAGTTATACCACAGTAACCGGAGTACACACAACTTCATGTCCTGTGGTAAATTCAGAGCAGCTTGTTCTTAGTAAGTGAAACAAACTGATCCAGATTATAGAACCAAACACATTACTACTTGTAAAGTAGGAAATCTGTAACTAGCTTGACTTGGAATCATTCCCTCAGGTAGCCACGTGACAGTATTCAGATGAGTGTAGGCATACGAGAAATGCTGGTCCAGGGTTACTTTTTTGGGTAATCTTTGCATGATTTAAAAATAAATAAATCAATCAATCATATATTCAGTCAGGTAAATGAAACTGTGGGTGAGGCCTGACTTAATACTGCAGCCAGATGTACACTGGAAAGTATTACTTGCATAGCTAACACACTTTCTATGCAGTGATGTATTTGCGAAGCATCTTTCCACCTGATGGTGCAGATGTAACCTTTGTCTGCTGAGACTCCTCCTACTGCTAGAGCAATTCTGGTCAGCTCTTTGTAATGAAGAGGATTACTGAAGTTTTGTGTCAATTACTGGTGCTGCCTGTTTCTGATTTTCTGTAGATTTATTGATAACAGTTTAAAAAGTTGGTCTAGATGATGTAGTGGTGGCTCATGTTAAACAGTAGATCAAAAACTGCTGGAAAACTCCTTGGAGAATGGTTTCAATCAAAACAGATGTTGAAATATGACCACATAAAATTCCCATTTAAAAATAACAAATTAAAAAAAAAAAATTGAAACTGGCTATGGAAAATGCAATATTTTTTTTTTTTTAGAGACCTATACATTTCTGTCTTTAAGAAGGTACCAAATTTTCTTCATACCCTTAGAATGGCCACAGCAGAGGTATTGAATGCCACATTGCTATCTGTTAATGACTTTTAAAATGCAAATAATCAATACCTTGTACTTATTTCCAAAATCAGAAGCAAGTTTTGAACTAAAAACCAAAAATATTAGCCTTACTTACTATTTTCCTGCTCTATAGGAACCACTGGATTGCCATTTCTGGGGGCAGAAAAAGTGAAATGTATGAGCCATTAAGAGCTGCATGCTTTGTGAAGCACATATGAAAAATAATTTTAGAAAGTCTGTTGTCTAAATTGTAGTTGTACTTCTATGATTTTTTTAATGGTGCTTTCCTAAAGAGCATTTATATCAGTATATAAAATACTTGACTCTATTTAACAACCGTGAAACATTTTATTTAAATGGGGTGGGGAAAGAAAGAACATGTTAAAACATCTGTTCCAATAAAGGACTTCTCTGTGGTACATTTTGAATTTAGCTTCAGTTCCCTCTCTCATATTTGGGAATGACATTTTGTCATTTCCTTTACCCTGCTTCTGTTTGTCTCCTTAGATAGTAAATTCTTACAATCAGGGTGCATTGCCTACTAACTGCTTGTACAGCAAGAAGTGTAATGATGCTGCAGTTTCTTCATTTGCTAGACCAGTGCAAGTTGCTAAAACACTGAAAAAAGTTTGAACTATGTTAAGACAGCTGTGACAGACACACCAGCGCTCACTCTGATTATGTAACTTAGTTATTCACGTGCTTTGGGGTTACAATTGGACTTTTCCTGTGAGAACTTTGGAAGCTATATCAGGCCGGGACCTTACCTGGTGCTATATCAAACTACAGAACACAGTAAACTTGAAGTGCAGCCAAGAACTGATGAGGCAAATTCTTAACTGCAGGCTATTGATCAAGCCTGGAATTAATTTTTGTTATGTGCTGCAGATTCAATGCTGCATTTCTCATACCTTTCTAAAATGTTTGGCTTTTGGAAGTAACTCGGTTTCCTGTCAGAGGTAGTCTCTTGCCTGTAATTGTGAATCTGCGATTGTATGGGGAAGGTTGGAACCAGTGGTGGAAATACAAAGATTCTTCTCTAGAGAACAGGATATCTGGAAATGGTGTCCATCCTCACAGGTAAAGGATTTGTATTTGTGTTTGGATGATGGAGTCTGAAGTGTCCTTTTTTGTGTTGTATGGGTCTGCTTGTACTCACTGTACTACCAGGGTGTCAAGATATCTTACGGATGCTATGTATCAGGTTGCAATGTTCAGATGAAGTAAATAATTTGTCTTGTAGTTCGTCTTGGTTTTATTGTTTGACTTGATATAAAATTTAGAAACCTGCTTCAACATTAGGATTGAGATTGAGCATGCTCAGGTTTACCTTGTTGGCTCAGATTTACCTTGTGGCTTTGATTTGGACATTCTGGGTGGCAGCTTCACACACTCTCACTGCATCATCCAGGCTAATGCCCTCAGTGCACAGTCCACAGATGCAAACAATCTGATCTCGTGGCTGCAAACTGCCTTCCACACTGGCAGGAGAGCCAGGCACTATGTCTAGGACATAAATACCTTGTAACTTGCTTCCAGCTCCTCCTGTCAGCTTCAAGCCTAGAATAATGCAGAGAAAGCATCTTTTGTGGCAGCGTGTTTTGAATTTTACTGTCAGTGACATACAGATGTGGGTCATTGAAGCTGGGCTGAACAGATCACTGATGTTACAAGTCTTGGCCCGGTGAGATGGGGTATAAGAAGTGGACTGGGAAAGTGAAATGCAATTAGATGTTAAAAAAGAACAGAAAAAAAAAATATATATTGTCCATCTCTATGCTTCAGCTATTCAATAATGCGTTATTCGACCTGATGTTGAAAGTCATTTGAGTAAGACACTGGGCTGCCTAGCAGTAAATCTTCTTTACCAGAGGACTAGTGCCTTGCAGCAGGGCTTAGAGTGCCATGGGTAACAGAGGTGTACAACAGCTGAGGAGATACCTATACACTGCAAAACTGAACTGCGCAATGATATTCAAGCAATCCCTGAAAAAGCTGTTTTCTGAAACAGAAACAGGATGCTATACCTGAACAAGTATAGCTATACTGTTCCCTGGACCTACACTTTTGTGTGCAGTACTCGTCACATTCTGCAGAAATATCAGGATATGCTGTGGGGATTTCTTTAATCACTTGTATTACACAATGTAGATAAAGCCTTGTATCTGTGGTGAATCAAGGAATTGAGTGGAGATTTTTTGAATAGCAAACTATTGGCTTAACCAGTGGCTCATCCTTCCTTATTTTTTTTTTTTCCCCCTCCAAACAGCTCTTTATGTATCTCAGTAGGTAGTAGGCATTATTATCTAATGACCAACAATTTCTATATATCAAAAACATAAAAATACGAGACTGGAGATCTGACAGAAATTTCAGCTGATGGGGTGGTAATACAAAGATCATTCTTCCAACTATCTTCATTGTTCTAGTAAGAGATATTAGTCTTTCCTCTAAGGCCTTGTCCAAATTAAAGCTCTCTGTTCCTTGGTCAAGGGTGATGGAGGAGAGCATAACGGAGTCAAGGTCACTCAGGATCATATTGATTGAAGACCACAGTTGCTTATGAATATTTTACAGTTGCTGTAATCCCTGTCCAAAATAGCATACATAGTATTTATTACACACCTAGCTGTCCATTGGCACCTTTTGTGAGGGTAATTTCGGGAATCTCATCTGGCTTAATAGAGGGATGTGGATCACTGTCAGCTCGACCAACCACAAGGTGCAGATCAGGAGGAGAGCTTTGCAGTAAAGTCAGGACTTCATTGCATGGTAAAGATGTGACATCAATTCCATTCACCTAAATGACAAACCAGTAAAATGATGTCATAGATCTCATTGACCATCATGCACTTCTCTCTGCACTCTGAATTTTTTGTATGAACTTAATTTAAGTTTTCACTTTTCAAAGCAAAGTTTTGCTTTGCTGTAGCATTTGTTAGTGAATGCAACAGTTAAGATTGCAGTAAGATGTCTTTTTTGAACTTTTTCTGAATGCAGAGCTTTCAGAAAAAATAGTTCTTTTTTTTCTTTAAATTCAAGGTCTTGTAGCAAAAATAACAAGTAAAATTTTTTAACGTAACAAACCAAAGGTGAACCAGGCATAAAACAGGTTTTATTTATACATTACAGAGGACATAACTCCTGCATCCTTTGTATATCGCCTAACTTATTACATTAAATCTGTTTATGTCATTTAATCAAGAAGACATTCAATGTCTCAGCTGTCTTGCATTACTGCTAGGTGATTCGTGTTTTTTGCCTTGCCATACAATCTATAAAGTCTGAAATTTGTCCTGCTGAAAAAGCAGAATTATATTTGTTATATGATTCATTTGCACTTGCATGCCTAAATCTGTGATAAACTGGACTCTACATAGGAAGAATGCTGAAGCTAAATGACATTGTTCTGCAAATATTTTCTCCTATGTATAAACTCAAAGAGTTACTGTACCATAATAATTCTGTCTCCTCTTCTCAGTCTTCCATCAGACAGGGCAGGGTCATGCAAGATATCATCAACATACAGGCAGGAGTCCACTTTGTTGAGAACTACAGAGAATCCATAACCATTGTTCTCTGACTTTGTCAATGTCACAAAGATCTCCATTTCCTATTAAAATAAGAGCAAGATACATTTGCTGTAGGATTTTCTGTTGCTTCGTTAACATCTTCCATTATGTTTTACTTGCAGATGGTATAAATCAGGGCATACATAAAGATTTCTCTAATCTGTTACTGCTTAATTTCAGAATTAATGCTACTTCTTTTTACCTAGTGAAGGTTCATGGTGATTGATTCATTGATAGGGTCTAACAGGGCAGAGAATGCCACCAGGAACTGGAATTTTGGCACCTGAAATGTGTAAAGAAAGGCTTGGAGGCCTCTGAGATGACAAGCATTACAATAGTAGTGTTCAGAGATTATTGTTGTTGCTACTATTTCTGTCCCACTGAAGGAAATGGCTGGAGCTAAACTTTGTCCTCAGTGCTCTCAAATTAGTAGGAATTCAGAGCTCATTAATG